ATGAGATAGAGTGTTATCACTTCGTTCATCATTAAAAGAATTAAGTTTTGATTTTTTTAATTATTAAAAATTTAAAGACATAATATTGGTCTTAAAAGAAAAAAAATAGAGCAATAATCGCATAAATAAACTAGATTAATTAATTACTCCAAATTACTACTGGAGATTAAATTTTCTCTTTAAAAATTCGACGATAACAAAGAATGGATGCTGGGCTTTAATTTCCACAACTCCTTTCTATTTTTCTTAACCATTTTCTTGGAAAAAGTGGGGAATGAATGAAGGAAAAGAAGCATTGTTCATTATGCGGGAACTTGAAGAACCACTGGCATGGATTGCTGCTGCAAAGAACTTGTTGAAGTTACCTTGAAGGCGTGACCAGGAGAAGATTCGAATAGAGTAGGATGTGAGATTTTGGCTTCATAGTCTCCATGAGGAAGGGAGATCTCAAAGTATCCTTCAGAGTCTGTTGAGACCTCAAAGGCCTGGTTGATACCCCATTCACGCAACAGCTTGTCAACAACATCTCCAGTGGGCAAATTCTTGAAATTGTTATCAGTTAAACACATCCTGTAGCAGCCCTCTGGTTTCCATGCACTCCATATCACAATGCCACTCACTGCTGGATGGGAATGCACTTCCCTTAGAATCTGCTCCAACAATTGTGCCTGCAACAACCCAAAAAATTTATCAGAGTTTGAAACTTAAATCTGGATTTAGTAAATTTCAAGACAATCCAGGCATGAAAAATCTCATTTTATCACTCTTTCTATTTTCATGTCCAAATATCCACTAAAATTAATTGGTATGAACTATTAAACACATTTATGTATTTGAAAATTGAAATCAGGATGTCTTAGTATTAGAAATGTCACGTTGAAACTGATCCAGTTAGGACTTACATGAGATCGGTGTGGTGCAGGTTAAGTATCATAACATTTTTCATATATGTACGTCCTGATTTTTTGGATTAAAATTTCAAACCTGGTTTTGATTGCTTTGGACATCAAGCTCTGTAATCCAAATGGGCACATTGGCGGCAGCAAGTGTATCAAGAGAAGACCTCACGTAAGCAATGTCGGGTACACTAAAATGGGACTCAAGTCCAATTGCAATATTCAAATTGGCATTACCAGGAAACGCCTGGATGTCTTTCAGCTTTTGAAGGTACTTCGCTGGCGTGGACATAGCGTCTCCAGCTTCCTCAATTGTATTAAATTCATTCATGAACAAAGTGGTTCCTGGGTCTGCCTCGTGAGCCAGCTTATAGAAATTTCCAGAAATAGTATCCCCAAGCTTGCTCTCAAAGAACGAGAAATGCAGATTTTCGTTCACCACATCCCATGCGATGAGCTTTCCCTTGTACCTGGACATTATGGAACCTAATCTTCGATTGGTGGCGGTGGAGAGGTCGGCGGGGGAGAGATTTTTGACCCAACCGGGTTGGTATTGCGGGTCATCCCAAAAGATGCTGTGGCCGCGAACGCCCACGCCGTTTTGTTCGGTGAACTTGAGCATGGCGTCGGGTACGGAGTAGTCCTCCTTGCCCTGTGATGATTCCGTGCTGTACCACTTCATTTCATCTTCAAATGTGGTGACTTTAAACCTAGAGGTGAACCAGCTCTGGTAAGCTTGATTGTTGAGAATGTTCTTGTTTATGGCACAACCAAAGGGAAATACCGACGACTTCTGGGAAATGGAGATTGTGGCGTTGGGCAGGGCATTGCCCTTTACGTCGACTGCTTGGATTTTCGTATTTGTGTTACGGATCTGGACATTATTGCAAGGTGTATGTTGCAATTACTCAATGAGAAAGGTGAAGAAAGAAAAAAACTAAAGAAAAGGGAGGATTCGATTCAGTTTACCTTCTGAATGCTTTGTTGTTGGTGAGAGCTCCATTCCTCTTGGGTGAATGGTTGCAATGAGATGCTATCAATCCATATCTCCACTGATGTGTTGTTGCTCTACAAAGGGAAAAGATTTATGAAGACTGCTTCCATATTCAGTTTATATTCAATAGTTTGATTTTGACACCATTTCCAAATTCAAAAGATTGAATAAGGATTCAAGAAAAGGAATGGTTATTGAAAAACCTTACCTCAAAGTAAAGTTCCGCAGGGCCAGATTCATCAACCCTAAGGCCACCCTTAAGCATGGACCAGCATTTGGATTCCGCAGCCACTGTTCCGGCACGTCGGAATCCTGTTGTTGTTTTAAAAGTGGCCGTTACAGCCGCCTTTCCTTGGCTTACTTGTATCCAGGCTGCATCAAATATTAGAGACAGTAACACAAATGATCCGATTATTGAATGACATTTTGATATGAAGAAAGAAAGAACATACCGGAAAAGGTGTAGAGCATGCTCTTTTTCAAATAAATCTTCTGGGAAGCACTATCAAATGGTTGATTTCGAGCATGAGCCACTATGAATTTATTGCCTCCTGCAGATACTCTATGTTGTATTTTTGCACCTCCAAATGGATACCATCCTTGTAGCCCGAAGTTTGACTCAGGGTTAACGATGATTCCGCCATTGTAATGAGGTTTCCAAGGGTTTTCCAAACACTGAAATGGAGGGAAATAGAAGATTGCATCAGAGTTGAGATGTGTACACTTTTCAACAGATTCAATACTCAAGAAGAAACTTATTGCAACATTCATTGAGGGGAGCTTGCCTCAAGACTGGCCGTGTAATCATAGGTTAAAGCATTAGCTTCAAACCCTGCAAAACAAATTGAAGATGATATTCTCATAATTAGATTAATATTTTCTACATTTCAAAAGTGAAGAAAATTAATAGGTACACAATTTTAATTTTGATTCAAAACGAACTCTCACAATTGTTTTTTTTTTTTTTGATGAATACAATTGTTATATAACATCAACAAATTCATGTGTCCCGCCAAGTGAAAACCTTTAGATTTTTGATAATTAATAATGTGTAATAATAAAATACAAAAGGGTCCATCAATATCTCATAAATAATAAGGAATCATAAATTTTCTTTTGGGATCAAACGGTAATTCTAATAGTTATATATGAGGACTAAACGGAGATTTTAATTTTCTTGGGGCTAGCTTTTGTTCTTATCTGGATCTAATTATAACCTCTGACTGAGTGGTAATCTTTCACCTCCCACCCCCCAATTATGGGAACTTATTTTTTTGTCCTAAAAGTTTTTCTTTTCTTACATGTAAGTTTTTCTTTTCTTACATCTAAGTGTCAAGTGTCAACTATACAAGGAATTAATTCTGCCAATATTTCTCTAACCAATGGACAATCTCCTGGGGGATTTGCTGGCATTAAAAAAGAATCAAAAGACAAGTTATTCAAAAGATATCATTAATAGAAAATTTTTAAATAGGTACTCCTTAATTGCTTCCAAAAAATTTATACTTTTTGCATGCATTTCCCCTAAAAACATTATTTTGGTGCCTTCTTTGCAAGCAGTCAACGACTCAAATTTATAAGAATGTATTAGAAACAATAAGACTTTGAGTGCAGTTTGGTGCAAACAAAATACCAATTATTAGATGGAGGGACATTTTCACATTATTAGAAGTCTCTCCTAATTTAATGATTGGAATTTTAAAGTTAAATATAGTTTGAATTGCTAAGCACTTTTTTAATAAGATTTTATGATCAAATAATCAAAGGTGAACTCAGTAGTAGATATTTTAACTCTCCCATCCCATTCCAAGTATATGTAGAACATTTGAATCTTTGAGATTGATGATCATAGATTTAAGTATTTAACAGAGGAGATTAATTTATCTCCGTCATTAAGGGGGCCAAAAAATGAAACAAACCAAGAGAAAGAGAAAAAACAAAAATGTTTACGTTCTTGTCCTACCAAAGTAAATAGAAAACAAACCTGAGAAAATAGAAGTGCATAAAAACAGTAGAATCAAACCCATGTCCATCTTCATCACGATTCACCTCTGAGAAAAAGGGCAAGGAAATGGTAAATCACGCATCAGAATTGAAATTAAGAGAGAGAAAGAGAAGAGTTACAAGGAAAAAAAAAAAAGAGGAAGTTCTAGGGGTAGTACCAATTGAGGAACTAGAATGAATTGAGATGAAAACTGCTTAATTTCATATCTAATTTATATAAATTAATTTTTTTATTTTATGGAAAGAAAATATATGAACATATAAACAAAGGAAGAATCATTTACATTAATTTTTTTTTTTTTAGATTTAAAGTCTTTTTGGTAATAAGTATCATCAATTAAAGGAATTAAAGCCAACTATGATCCTTTTCCATGCATTTTCATTCATAACCATCCCTGTACAAATGAAACGTTCGTTGGGGTCCTCCTATTTGAATGCTCCATTCATTGAGTTCCTCTACTCAACTAAAAGCATGCTTTTGGGGTCCTCAAAACCAACTCCGTTTGATAAATATTGTTCGTATTGGAGTCAATTTTTACCGTTAATTAAGCTGTTATTCTTAGTCATCTTTATTATTATTGTTATTATTAAAATTTTTTTAATGTTATTATTATTTTTAATTTCTTTATGGAACCCAAAGCCCTACATCATAAGTCCATGCATTTCCCGTTCTCCCCTACTCTTCTCTTCCACCTTCACCACCTCAATTGTATTATAACAAATTAATTACTAAAATACCAACAATAATCAGGCCTTTTATTTTATTCTTAATTAGATTATATTTTAAGTTCGTGGTTAAATTTCCTGTATCCATGCATTGTTGGTGCATTTTATGTAATTTCAATTTTTTTTTTATTAATGATTTTAGGTTTTAATGTAGTCATTGCATTATTATATGCAGATATATGAAATATAACAGAACAAAGCTTTTGATAATAGAAACAATTATTTATATTCACAGTACTGAACCATGT